TTTTTTTTTTTTTATATCATAAAGTGTAAGCATATTTGAAGTGAAGTGTTGATTTTTCTTTTTTCTGTTAATAATTTACATTTTACTACAGTACACTTCAGGAATGTGGGTGCTATGATCATGATTTCTAATTGCTTCTTAAAAAAACTGATTTTGTGACAACACAAAAATATACTGGCAACATGAAAAAGTAATTTGACCCATTTACAAACGGGTCAATGACATCAGCATTTTTCATCAAGTCATTTTTCTTCTATAATATTAATATTTCTGAGTAAAATACAATATTCAACAATCATGAAAAACATTAAGACAGAAATTAAAACAGTCAAGATATGAAACAAGTTTTTTAAAATTATTTATTTATCTTTCAATACAACAAATCAAAACTTTTTTGTTATTATCATGCACGTATTAATTGTATAAGACCAACAATGAGACCATTAATAAAATAGGTTCAATAACAGGTCATTAAAAACAGTTTCAAGTTTAATTTAGTGCTGTCCCTTGTTTAGTGTTCCCTTTTACAATCCTTGCTCAGTGAAACAAAAGTTGTTATCTTTGAGGTCAAAGTCTCTAAATGTGATGGTACCACCTATACACAGACAACCGCACAACTTGCTTAATACAAGAATTATTAATACATACACACTTATATCAAATAAAAAGAGCACGACATCTGATTTTGCATTGGAATCAGTCTCTAAAAATGACTCATTTGCACAATGCTCAGTATTACATAATGTTGTGTAAAATATTGTCCACATATAGCCTACAGTACGTGTGCTGAAAATCAAATGTAGTGGGCTGTTCCAAGGCAAAGACATTTATGACAGCTATCGTCACGTATAGCTGATATATGGAGTTCCTGTTATATTGTTACCACAGGTACTGCTTTCAGGTATCTGTTTCCTCCTTAGAATTATACCTGTTCTGTAAGGCAATTATGCTATATTGTGACAAAAGGTACTGTGTCTATTTTTCATCTTATTTTGCTATTTTCTATTTGGCGGGAATGGTCAAAGCAACTATGATTTTTTTTAGCTCTTTGTTGAATTTGCAGTTTTGTGACAAGTGCAGGATTTCTTTAACATTTGCTAAATCATCAGGAGCTTGGTATGCTGATTTCAGAAGTGTAATGTTTCTGTTGTGGTGGTGCTGGCTCTAACAGAGATCATGTTTAAATAATGATCATATGCCATATGTCACTATTGCTAAATACTTAAATCGCTAACAAATGCTTCATTAGAGCAGCACACCTAACTGTATTCTTGGGTGTAAATGTAATGTTTACATTTAAACGTATAAAATATATAAAGACCAAGATGATATCAGTGAGCGAGTTAAAGGAATATTGTCATTTCAATTCATCTTTTGCATAATCTGAACTGAGGGAGCAGAAAATATGCAGAATTTAAATTTAAATTTAAACATGATGTCTGATTACAATTAACTAAAATTCAAATGACTGTAATCTTTACTAGAAAAGGAAAACTATCAAGGCGACCTTACAATATTTAAAAGTTCTTACGGACAGAATTCATAGATGTAACAGTTTACACATTTCTGACATTCATCTTTGCTTTACTCTACAGGCAATAAAGGGCAGATGGATAACAGCACGTTTAAAATATTTCTTGCTCTAACATGTATCTCTATTACTTCAACACTGATTTTGGCATACAAGAGTAGTTATACTCTTTACCAATATATGACTGCTTCCTATAATACACAAAAAATCCCAGACGCTTCAAATTCGACAATGCCCATCAAAGACTCAGAGCATGCCTTCTGTAATACATGTAAAATCACTGACCCTTTAAATTCGATAACACCCATCAAAGACTCAGAGCATTTCATGGTGTCTGCGTTTATCGACCACAGACTGGATGGGGTCATTCGAGTCATCAGCATAATCAACAGAAACAGTCTTCAGCCACTTTACTGTATTCACTGCAGCGCTGAACAAGTCTGCAAAACAGTTCACACTGAGGTCCAGATACACGACGACCATTTTGCCTTCCCGTTTCACGTCTCAGATGTGATTTGTAAAGGCAGGCACATGCAAAATGCAACACACGTCCTTATATCAACTAAAGATTCAGATAACAGTGCTACAGAGTATCTGCCAATAAAAAATCGTGTCAGAATGAACACTTTTAAGTATAACTTTACCGTTTGCAGCTCCAATCTTTTTGGTGACTACAACAGTGTACTGCAGTTTGTTCAAACAATGGAAATGTACAAGCTTCTGGGTGTACAGCATGTGGTCATCTATAAAACTAGTTGTGGACCAGACTTGGAAAAGCTCTTAAAACATTATGAAACAGAGGGGATACTGGAGATCGTTCCATGGCCTATCGACCAGTTTCTGAACCCTGCATCAGGCTGGAACTTCCAGGAGCACAAGGGTGACATCCATTATTATGGTCAGTTAGTAACACTCAACGAGTGCATTTACAGGCACATGTACCAGTCAAAGTATGTTCTCCTGAATGACATTGATGAAATCATCATGCCTTATAAACACACCAGTTTACCATCTCTAATGGAGGACCTCCAGTCTGCTTATCCCAAAGTGTATTTCTTTTTGAGAGCCACGTTTTTCCCACAACACAGTTTGAGGAGAGTGGGAAGTTCAAACGAGCAGAATGGAATAATATTCCTGGTTTTAATATCATGGAGCACATTTACAGAGAACCTAATCGAAAGAACATTTACAATCCCACAAAGATGATTGTCAACCCAAGGAAGGTGCAGCAAACCTCAGTACATACCTCATTGCAAAACTATGGATATATTCACCGTGTAGAATTTCATGTGTCTAGGATGGTGCATGTGAGATAACCAGTGCAGGTGAATCTTACTAAAAAGCAACTGTTTGTGGACAAAAGAATGTGGGACTTTGAGCAAAAACTGATACCGAATGTTGACCGGACTTTGAAGCTTTCAGGTTTGTTAAGGCCTCACTGATGACATGATTTTATTATAATTATGCAGATGTGAGAAATCTAACATCTGAAAAATAAAGAATGCCTTTTGAGAAATATAATCTTAGCCAAAATGATTGCTAAACAGATTTAGACCAAGGTAAAGTTAAAAAGGTCGAGCATTTTGCACAAAAAATACTGTACTGTACAGCTAATGTCTCGAGTCTCTGGCCCGATTTCATTTGTACTCCGCAAATTAACTTCCGGTTTTAATAGCCTTTCCTTCTGGAGTTGTTCCCAGGAAAGTTACATTTATTTTGTATTTTATCTACTTGATATTATTTTGTTAATTATAAAATTGTTTTAATACTTTTTTCATTACATTTAATATGAGCAGTATTTACATTACAGGCATGGTTGTAGGTTGACCACATGTGTTTAAAGGTGTTTTTATTTTATTCATGTTGAGTTTAAAAATAACACAATGCAAACTTCAAATTACTCTACATCAGAAAAAAATGTACACTATAATCTGTGCACATACAATGTAACAGGCATAAAGTTTACATAATGATGTTCACAATAGATTTGTGACTCTAGGTTTTAAGAATTCAATATTGTTAATGTGTAGATTTGAAGGAGCATGTGCTAAATAAACAGATCCCACTCTCTTTTCCTC